TGTTCATATGGTAGACAACAGATCATTTCCAATTTGGCAAATAGCTAATACATGATTAAAACGGGGCTTCTTATCACTAAAAACCAAATATACAATGACAACTGATTCCAAACTTCTTAATCTTTGCTGACAGGACATGTTCAAGACGATTTTCGGGTTCACGAAAAAAAAACAGCTTACTTGACATACTCCACCCATACTTGAGAACTGCCAGCTAGCTCCTTTGCAATATTTACAAATGAATCCTCCTGAAATAACACAGATACAGATACAAATACTTACGCTGGCTCATGTTGAAGAACAACGGAGAATGTAAAGTCAAACCTTCTTGTTATGTATATCGGATGACTCAGACGAACGATAATGCGCCTGGACAATTGTCCACATGTCCCCTGACGGCAGATTTAAAGAGCACTGAAACTTCGCAAATTATTCATAAGTTTTGAAAGATGAACATCGACAAACCTTAACCATGGTAGATGCGAACTCATTAGAGTCCATTCTAGCAATCGCATAAACATCTTCGCCAAGATTTTTGCAAATCACTTCAATTTTCTGCTCAGACATAAGAGCTCCAAGCAATTTCTTCTGCAGGCTCTAAAAGGAAAAATGTGCTTATTCAAAAAGAAAGAAAGGATTAAATAAGTTAAATATTGTGAGCGAAGGTTATCCAGAAAACTTCTAGAGAACTCTAAACATAAACTCAAACACTTTCTCCATTCTGCAGCTCATTTCCTTCTAAATTAATATCGGATTATTGATGCATCATTGTCATTCTTTGTTGCAACTTGTGTGTGAGTTTTGAAAGAAGCGATTACAGACTGAATATAGATGTCGCGTCAGCGCTTATTTTTGTAGAGAGCTCATTTTTAAAATCTGATCATAACCATTTCTCCCCTCAACTACAGATAATCGAAAATTATCGATAAAACCTTTCTAATGGAAATTAGTGCTTACACTTTCGTGAAGGGCTATTTTCTTCGGTGCAGTTGTTTTCTCTGTAATAGAGTCTTCAAATCTTCTCTTCACTCCTCTTGAGGTAACTTTTCCACTCGGCAATGAAGTACCTTCTTCTAAAATAGAAAATTTTGCATTTTTTAAATCAAAAAAGCCAGTAACCATAGTGGAACTCACTGTCTATACTTGCAGAGCATTTTTCATTGGCCGAGGGACCACGCAAAGACGACTAAAAGCATTTTTAGTCAGTATAGAATGATATATGCTAGGAAAAACTACCTTCAGAGTATGCGCTGTCGCTGGAGAAGGTTCGTCAGTTACTGGACACTTCAGTGAAGATTTGCCTTTTGTCCGCTGAAAGGCAAACCACATTACTTTACAAAAAAAAAATGGAATTTCTTCTGCA